AAAAAAAAATGATAGTAGCAGAACACAAGAGGATCACTACAAGTCCAGTCTGTGTAGTGAAACTCTGTAGGCCCTGTACTAAATACATTAAAAATAAAAATAAAAAGGGCTGGCCAAATAGCTCAGCAGATTAGAGCTCCTGTTTAGACAGATACGGGGACCAGGGTTTAATCCCATGTGCTGTGCTGGCCCTGCCCCTTGGGTATGCTGAGACCACAGTTTAGACTGAGTGTGGTGGCATGCGCCTATAATTCCAGTGCTTGGGAAGCTGAAAACAGGAGGAGCACTACAACTCTGATCTGTTTAGTGAGACCCTGTACTAAACATATATATAAAAAAAATTTATTCAATGAGCAGAACAGACTTCATTGAATAAAAGTATGAGTCTATACTTGAATGTATAAATTGAAAGTTTGATGAGAAGCAGCATTAAGGTAGTTCCTTGGATCATGAACACAGAAGCATTTTCAGAATTTTTTGTTTGTAAACTCTGCATGAAGTGACAAACACAACAAGCACAGTTTTGACAATCTTTTCCAAAAATTTTAAGCTTGTGAACTGAGGCCCCACTGTGTGTGTGTGTGTGTGTGTGTGTGCGCGCGCGCGCGCGCAATATAAAGTATATATAGTTTGTATATAAACATATAAATTGTATACACACATGTATGGTTTCATAATTTTTAATCAACTAAATATTAATTTAGAAAGGCAAGAGTTTCTTTATAATGAAGATACTTGGTAAATAAAACCTAAATCAAACTAGCATCAATATCAAGAATCAGAATTATATGCTACATCATAGGATTCAGGAAGGACTCAGTGGCACTTCTGTGATACTACTCCTCAGAATATGTAACCTAAATCTTATCACAAGAAAACAGTTCAGCCTGCAAAATGACTTGTCCTGAAATCTTCAAAGAATTAAGTTCATCAAAGTCAGAGAGACTGAGGAACTTTTCAACAGAAGAGAATCCAAAGAAAAATTAAAAATATGCAAATAGAAAAGAATATTCTGAACTGAACCCTTTTGCTTACATGACATAACTGAGACAACTGGCCAAATTTTATTGGTGCCTGAGGATGGTTAATACTTTATCAACGATAATTTCCCAAACTTCTGGTTGTACTGTTAAATGTAATAGCCCTGTTTTTAGGATATACACATGTTCTTAGGTGATGGATTATCAATTAGGTAACTTTTCTTATTTGGATTGTCAAGGGAGAGAAATACATTGTAATATTTTGCAACTTGTTTCTGATTGAGAATGTAAAAACAGCTAATAAAAATTATAGTCATAAAAAGCCAGACTCATTTTTTAAGTAGTGTTTTTAATAAGTATGCATAGAGGATTGCTTGGTTTTATGGCTTAAAAAGTATGTCGTTGTTTCCTTTAAGAATGAGTGTGAGGGCTGGAGAGATGGCTCAGTGGTCTAAAGCATCTACTTAGAACAAGCTTGGCAAGGCATCAGGGACCGCGGTTCAATCCCCCAGCACCACATGCCAGCCAGCCCCGCCCCCTGGTGGGCTGAGCTGTCCACACACACACACACACACACACACACACACCTCTCTCTCTCTCTCTCTCTCTCTCTCTCTCTCTCTCTCTCTCTCTCAAATAAATAAAAATTAAAAAAAAATTTAAAAAAAAATAAAATAAAATAAAAAAATAAAAAAAATAAAAGAATGAGTGTGAGCAATGGTAAGGAAGTCAAGCCCCTTTTCCTGTAATTTCTTCTCATAAAAGAGCGGTGCCTGCCCAAGCGTTGCTGACTGGATGTCCCTTGTCAGATCACTAGAGCACCATATTTCACTACATTTGTTGCTGTTTGGTTTCAGAAAAGCCATGACTTCCAAATGGGAGAGGAAAAATAAACTGAGTAGCTAGAGAGTTGGTAGGACAAAAGTGTATTTGATCTGCTTCTATATATGTTTTTATGCACAGTTTTATGCTTCCGTTCTGAAAATAAGTCCGTTTTTTGCCCTCTAACAACCTCTTTTTTGATTCAGAGGTTGGATATAGCTCTCTATGCCTGGAATTTCTTTCTAGCCCTCCTAGTCTTCCTTCACCTTAGCACCTATGCTTTTGATTCTGTATTGCCTATATTTAACCTTTCAAGAGCACATTTTTCAGATCTTATTCAGTAAATTTTATTAAAAACACATTTTGTGAAAACATTTATTTCATTTTATTAAAAGCACATATGAGTAGGTATGGGCCAAATGCCTGTAGGCTTCTTCAGAGACTAAGGCAGACAGACTGCAAGTTGAAATCCAGCCTGGATAATTTAGCAAAATCTTATCCTAAAAAGGTGACTGGGAATGTGGCTTTTTGGTAGAGGGCTTTCTTAGCATGCATAGGTCCTGAGCTCAGTCTTCAGTACCACACACATGGGCACAGACCCTGGAATAAATATATGTACAACAAAATAGTACCTGACCCAGATAGTAAATACTACCATGAGTTAGCTGTTCCTGCCATTTATTTTAGTAAACATTTAAGTATCTATTCATTATAACTTTTGGTACTGGTGATTGAACGTTGCACTTGACAGGCAGGTACTTATGTTCCTAAGCCTCCAGCCCTCCTTAAACTTACTTATATAATTGTTAAATGTTTCTTTTCCATGATAGGCTGTTAGTGTTGTGAGGAAAAAGATCTTTTTTTTTTTTTTTTTTTATTTACTTGTATTCTCTAGGTACACATAGTACTTAAGTACTTTTGTTGACTGATTAAAAAGTTGTTTACAATAGTAGAGACAGTCAAACTAACTGGATTTTGACTGGAAATAGATTTGGTGACATTATTTAACAGATTTCTTATATACAGAAAAAGGTTAATAGTATCATTCATAGGGAGTATTAGAGAAAGTGTAAATAAATCCCTATCATTTTGTTGGTGATCAATACGTAGTGGCCAAGGATACCAATACTGAAAATACTAATATTTTCAGTGAGTGCTTAAATGAAATGATATGAATGGAAATAGCTATAGTTGTTTCAGTTCCCCTATCCTAATTTGTTTCAAATTGAACTCAGGACCTTGTGCTTGCCAGGCAGGCACTTATGTTGCTGAGCTACATCTGCAGCCCCTGATGTATGGAAGTGTGATGCATATTACTCCCTTTGTCACTAGATATGGTTCTCCTTCCCATTAAACAAAATTACTAGAAAAATCAAATAACTTGCTCACTGATCCAGGTTTTGAAGTCATGTGTAATTCTAAACACCTTTTTGATTTTAGGGAAGGGTCCTCAAGGTGTTCAGGGTCTCGCTACTAGATTGGACTTGTAGTGATCTGCCTGTTCACAGTCTCCCAAAAGCTGGGAATATAGGCATGTGCCACCACTCCCAGTCTCGTGTTTTTTTGGGTTTTTTTAACTTTAAATTTTCGTTAGAAAATTAGAAGTGATTTTGCAGTTGTTAAATATCCTTCCCCCCACCCAGTATTGGGATTTGAAACTATGATCTTTGCATGAGCTACATCACCACCCTTTTTTAATTTTTTGAGACAGTGATCTCATTAAGCTTCTTAAATTGCCCAGGCTAGGCTCAAGCTTATGATCCTTCTGCCCCAGCCTCCCAAAGTGTTGGTATTATGCAGCAGTATGTGTTACCACACCTAGTTAACATCCTTTTAAAAAACGCTTTTGTGATAATGGGAATTATAAAACAGCCTTCCAAACACTATAGTTTCAGTCAAATTGCTCTTGTGCCCTCGCTTGCTCTCGCTCTCGCTCTCGCTCTCGCTCTCGCGCTCTCTCTCTCTCTCTGTCTCTGTCTCTGTCTCTGTCTCTGTCTCTGTCTCTGTCTCTGTCTCGGCTTTTATGATACAGGTTTCACTATTGTAGTTCAGCCTGCCCTTGACCTTGAGACAGTCTAGCCTCAGCCAGAATGCTGGGAGTTAGATGTTTGCTGCCACATCCACTTTCAAATTGCTTTTCCCTTGTTATGTTGAGCTGCAGGGGACTCAGGTCAACAATTTCTGGCATTGCCGGTCAAGCGGAAGACCTAATACTATTATGGGATACTGGACTCTTTTAGAATATTTTGCTGAGTATACACACCTATAATATTCAAATAATGGAACTTAACAAAAAAAGGGGATACAGATGAATGTCCATTTTGTATCTGTGTATTCAAAGTGGTTAGGATAGACGTATAGTTACATTCTCTTAATGAATAGAGTGATTTTTTCTAATGGTGTTTGTAAATAGGATATCAAGTCCGCATCTTGTACAGCAATTAACCACAAGGAAGAATGTATGCAATGTGTTAATTATTGAAACTGTCCTACCAATTTGATTTGAAACTGTCTTATTGCTATTTGTTTCTCAATAAAATTATGAAAACAAACAAACACAAATCCAATGAAAAAAAATTGCTTTTCCCAAAAACCTACTTGAGGTTTTCTGTGTGGAATAATGAACATACCAATAACTGATAAAGCTCTGGAACACTTTTTTTAATAGTATCACAGACCTGGGTAGAATGCACTTTTGGTAGTTTTAAGTAGTGGAAGCTTTAGAACTTGTTTAGGAAGACAGAAAAAGAGATATATCCTCTCTCGTAGTAAATGACACAATCTTCTGGTTTAAATTCATCTCAGTATAAATTTTTCTGTTCATTACATGAATACATTCATATTTCAGAAGATAAAACATGTACATATAGTAAAATATGTCTCATTTCTGTAATCTCTGAGAGCAGAGTGGTTTTGTGACCAAATAATGTGAGAAATGCTAATACTATTGTTTAGTCACTGTCATTGAACTTTTGCAGAAAGTAAGAAAAGTTCCAAGGGCTTTACATTCTTAGTGAGAAGAGTGCAGTGTGCATTTCCACATTCCACAAATGTTACGTGTAACATTTCCACAAATGTTATGGGCCAAAGGATGAAAAATAGCATTAGAGAAAAAACAGCAAAATACATGTATATATTATATAAAGGTTATGTTGTTTTGAGTGATTGTTTTTTCTAAATACTTTTGTATTTTATTATGCTGAAAACTGTATTGGAATATGAATAAGAATGTCATGTATTTCAGAAACTCTGTAGTGATGCTCAAGTTAAAGTCTTTGGGAAATGCTGCCAGCTGAAGCCTGGAGGAGATAGTTCTTCCTCTTTGGACAGTTCCATTGCTCTGTCTTCTGATATAAAAGACCAGTGTCCTAAGTATCAGGTGAGATCACTGATTTCATTTGTTTATTCTTCCATTTATGTGTACTTTTGATCACCAACCCTAGGAAGCAGGGTATGCCTAAGCAAGTGCTTAGTCTGCTGAGATATCTCAGTGGCCTTTAGACACAGATTTTTAAACAAGTAAATCTATAATTTTTAAAAATTCTTATAAATACAGACAACTGTAGGTCATGGCAGTAGGGATATTGTCTCATTTTTCTCAATTCATATTTAGGGCCAGGGAGATGGCTCAGTGGAATAAGCGCTTCCCTGGCAAGCGCAAGGGCCTGAGTTCAATCCCCAGTTCCGCCCAAAAAAAAAAAAAAAAAAAAAATGTATTTCAATTCATATTTATTGGGCTACCAGAATTCTTTTTCTTACACCTTTTCATAGCGAAATACGAAGATAAATAATACTAACCAATTTACGTATATTGTGTAATTAAAGTGTAAATGGAAATATACACAGTAAAAAATGCACAGTTTTATTTTCTAAAATTATCCTTTTTTTTTTTTTAAATACTGAATTAAACCAGTAGCTACATAGGAAATTTTTTAACTTAACTACATTTTTATATAAGGTCATTGTTTAGTTTCATGGTAATAAAATTTATTTGTATCATCTAGGCTTGCATGAATCGTAAGTATTTTATATTTAGTAGTTTACCAAAGTAGAATTGTGAACTTTTAAAATTCTTTGTATTGCCTGACAAGTGCAGGGTCCTCACTTCAATCCCTGATACCGGAAAAAAAAAAAAAAAAAAAAAAAACCCTCTTTATAATCAGGTGATTGTTTTTTGCCAGTTTATCCTTATACTTTGTATTAATAAGGAGTATATATGAAAGTACGATGAAATTACTAAATTGTAGATCTTAAGAGGTACCACAGAGTTCCTTCTGCCTTCCTGTTTTTATCTTACGCTTAAAATACTGAAGCAAATTTTTAAGAGTGCCGTGTAATACTTGTATAATTTGTGTAATTTTGCACAAGTTGAGTTTACTGATGTGTTCAAATATGCAAACTTGCCTTTCTTCCATATATTATATAGTTAAAAATAAAAATTGGCAAACTGAACGAGATTGGAGATACTGAAGTAATGAGTGGTTATCTCATTTTGTATTAGAATTGTAACATTTGCTTTAAAAGCCAGAAAGCGTTGAATTTTTTATAGCACAATTTATTGTACTGTGTGCTCTCAGGTAACTAGAATATTATATTTTAACTCCTGGTTGTAACAGATTATTAGCTTCTAGCAATACACAATTAAAATGAATAGACTTCTAAATAAGACTTTTTTTCTTTTTTTTTGTCTTTTTGAGACAAGGTCTCACTATGCAATTCAGGCTGGCCTTGAGCTCACTTTGCAGCTCACGCTGGTCTTGAACTTGCAGTGATTGTCCTGCCTCAGCTTCCTGAGCACTAGGATTACAGGCGTGGCCACCACACTCGGCTCTAAATAAGATTTTTTAAGAAGACAGCAATGATAATAGCACTTTCTGAACTGTGTAACTTTTAGTGTAGGTTATGTTACATTAATACACATGCTGGTGATTTCATGGTACATGATAGAGCACGCAAAAAGGGAGCTTCGTTAATAAACTACATGATCACATGAAATATACATAGCAGTTTATTTTTTACTGTATTTTATTTTCTGAGTTATTTTCTTATATAGTATATAATCTAAAACTGCCTTGTACTGAAATTCATATGACTAAATATAAAAAGCAGCAATTTTAGTCAAAATAACAATGGAATTCGATCCATCATAGCAAAAATGAACTTATAAAGGAAGACTTTCATGTCTGTCACTAGCCAGAAGTAGTTTAGGTTGCAACAGGATTGGTACTGATCTTCAAAAGAAAAATAATTGCTCATTAAAAAAAAAAAAAAAAAATACTATTCTACTCTGTTTCCAAAGTGTTCTCAAGCCAGGTGTGGTGGTACACATTGATACTCCAGAGGCTGAATAAGGAGAATTATAAATTCAAAGTCAGCCTCAGCAATTTAACAAGACCCTGTCTCAAAATAAAACAGATTAGAAGGGGATGTATCTCCGTGGTAAGGATTTGCTTAGCATGCACAAACAAGGCCTTTGGTTCAATCACCATTACTCCTGCCACCCCCCCTTCCGCCCCCCAAAAAAAGTTGTTCTCAGTACCAAAACCTGTATGCCTTGAAGTAGGAATTCAATCTGAACCAAAACCTTAGATGAGTTCTTACTGTTAGAAACCTGAATGTAACAAATATTTTTTTTCCTTAAAATTGAACTTTGTGGCTTTATTAGAATAAAGGGGACATAGCTCAGTGAACTTGCCTGGCAAGTTCAGTGTCTTCAGTTTGAGTTCTAGTATCACAAGGAAAAAAAAAAATCAAAATTGTGATACTCTGAGAAAGTGACATTATATAGATGAATATATAAAATGTAAAATAGTCATTAGGTTTTTTTTGTTTTTTTTAACTTTAGAAGTTTTTTTAAAAAATTTATTTATTTGTGTGTGTGTGTGTGTGTGTGTGTGTGGCCAGCTCAGCCCACCAGGGGGCGGGGCTGGCTGGCATGTGGTGCTGGGGGATTGAACCGCGGTCCCTGTGCTTTGCTAAGCTTGTTCTAAGTAGGTGTTTTAGACCACTGAGCCATCTCACCAGCCCTAAAATAGTCATTTGTAATAAATTTTTTTTTTTTTTTTAAAGTGAAGCTGGTCATGGTGGTACAGGTCTGTAATCCCACAGCATTTGGAAAACCGAGGCGTCATTTGTCAGTTGGGAGGATTACCATAAATTTGAGGCCAGTCTGGGCTATATAGAGTTCAAGATTAGCCTAGAACACATAGCAAGACCCTGTTGCGGGGGGGGGGGGCCTTTAATTTTAAATATTGAAAGAGGAAGATTCATGATAGTAAGCAGGCCAATAAGTAAAAACATTGTAATATGAAAAGAAAAATAGTGTAGAGTATATTTACTGGTCTCCAGTTATAAAAGGGGATCCTTAACACTATATTGTGATTATTAGAATTTTAAAATAGAAGATTCATCATTCTTTTTTCTTCTCTTCTATTCTCCTTTGTCTCTCTCTCCTTCCCCACCTTTCTTCCTTTTTTTGATGGTACTACAGATTGAACCCAGGGCCATCGCACTGGGCTACATCCCTACCCTCTGTGAGACAGGCTCACTAAATTACCAGGACTTAATTTTGTGCTCCTCCTGCCTCAGGTTTCCATTAGCTGGGATTACATGGGCACCACGACACCCAGATTGAAGACTACTATTTCTTGATTTTTCCACAATAGACCAGTTTAGTGAAACTTGTGATTCTTATTTTTTTACCTTAAATAATTTGGGCCATCTTCCTCACTGATTGCTTCAATATATATTTGATGAATTACATGGGCAGACTCTTAATACAATTGCTTAGAGTATGGATTTTTTTTCCTTGCATGATAAAAAGTCTGAGGTAAACTGTGTAGATGTGACTTATGGGCTTAACTGTGTTCTTAGAGACCAAGTTTCCCATATCTTTCTACTTAGAGATAAAGTATTCTTATCTCCTAGTGGTCATAATAGTCATAATATTACATGAGTATCTCTAGTGACTTCCACTTGTATCTCATTGACTCATCAGTTAAAACACATAAATGAATAGTGCTCAAAGTGCTGTGCTAACCATCAGTCCAACTTTACAGAAATGCCTCTACATTTCCTCTTTTCAGGTAAGGTTTGTAAGATGCGATTTTTTTTTTTTTTTCAGTTGGGCATATTAATGCTCTTGAAACAAATTGTATCTCAAAGAATTAACAGATAGTTGGGCAAGCCAAATAGTTCAGTGAATTAAAGCACCTGCTTAGGCAAAGGCAGCAGCCAGGTTCAATCCCAGGCCTGCCAAGCCGGGCCTACCATCAGGGTGTACTGAGACTGTGATTGAGACTGGGCATGGGGGCACATACCTGTAATCCCAGCACTTGGGAGGCTGAACACAGGCGAATCACTACCAGTCTAATCTACCCTTACTAAAATACAAAAAAAAAATTAACAGATAGTAGCTAACTAGTGATATTTGTCATAGTATATAAATAGTAATAAGCTTAATAATTAGTTCAAATTTTCACTATTTTCTGACTCCTGTGAGAATTAAATAATTAAACGGAAACAAGTCATTTTTATCAAGAGTTCTTTGAAATCAGACATTCTAATATTTGAAACTAGTTTTTTTTAACAGTAATGTTGGAAACATTTAACATAAAATCTACCCTCTTATATACTAAAGTGTAATTGTCAACTATAATTACAGGTATTTATAGTATATTTCTAGAGCTTATGCAGATTTGACTGAAATTTAACAGTCATTAATTGGTAATTGATTTCCCCCTCTCCTCAGCCTCTAGTAATCACCATTCCACACTTGTATTCTGTGAACTTGACTGTGACTGGCTTATTTTATTTCATGTGCTTTTTTAATATTCATTTGTGTTGTTGCATGTTGAAGAGTTTTCTTTTTTTAGACTGAATATTCTATTTATGCATATATCACATTTTCTTTGTCCAATCTGTTGGTGAACATTTCAGTTTATTTACACATCTTGTTTATTGTGAATAATGCTAAAGAGAATATGCAAGTGGTAATAGCTTTTTGAGATCCTGATTTAAATTCTTTTGGATAAATACCCAGAAATAGGATGGGTGGATTACATTGTAGTTTCACATTTAATCCTTTGAGGAATTGCTCTACTGTTTTCCACAGCAGCTATATCATCTTTCTCACCAGAGGGGTATAGAAGGGGGCCGGGGAGATGGCTCAGTGGAATAAGCACTTGCCTGGCAAGCACAAGGCCCTAGGTTCAATCCCTGGTTCCACAAAAAAAAAAAAAAGGAGGGTATAGGTGTTTCAGTTTTTTTATATCTCTGCTAATGCTTGTTATCATTTTGTATTTTTTATAATAGCTAACCTGATAAGTGTAAACTAATATCTCATTGTGATGTTGACTTGTATTTCTCTTATAATTAGTAATCTTGAGCATTTTAAAAATTTAACTTGGGGGTGGAGGAGATGGCTGAGTGGAATAAGCACTTCCCTGGCAAGTGCAAGGGCCTGAGCTCAATCCTGGTTCTGCAAAAAAAAAAAAATAATAATAATAATAACTGGGGTTAATAGTATGTCTTACATGGAGAAGTGTCTGTTAAAGTCATCCTTTTCTTAAATTGAGTTATTCTTTTAACTGTAGTGTTTTATGAATTCCTTGTATATTTCTTAGATTAATTTCTTACCAGATATTTGTAAATAATTTCTCTCATTCTGCAGTTTGCATGCTCATGCTTTTGTTTCCTTTGCTATGCAAAACTTTTTAGTTCAGTATAGTTCCACTTGTCCAGTTCTTCTTTTCTTGCTTTTGCTAATGGTATCATACTCATGAAGCTATTGCCAAGACTAATGTCATGAAGCTTTCTTTCTGTGATTTTACATTTAACTGTTTTATTCAGTATGAGTTTATTTTGGTTTATGACAAAAGGATCCCATTTGATTCTCTTGCATGTGAATATAGTTTTCCCAGCAGCATTTGTTAAAAAGACTGTCCTTTCTGTGTAGTACAGTTTTAATACCTTTGTTGAAGGTAGATTGTGTAGGTGTGGATTTATTGCTGCCTCACTGTTTTTCACTGTTCTGTATGTCTTGTTATCCCCAATACTGTACTGTTTAGTTAGCTGTCACTTGGTAATATATTTTGAAACCTGAAAGTGTGGTGTTTCTAGTTTTGTTCCTTGTCAAGTTTGGCAATACGTGTTCTTTTGTGGATCCACATATATTTTAGAGTGTCTTTCTATTTTTGTAGAAAATATCATTAGGATTTTGGTAGGGATGTATCAAATCTATAGATCACAAATCTTTTTTAAAAAGATGTAAATTGCCCCATTTGTGTATGCTTTTCTGCATAACAGAAAGAGTTTAAATTATTCTGTTTAGTGAATTACACTTTTATCTCTCCTAGAGAAAAGAAATTTTGGTTTGATTTTTTTTTTTTTTTTTAGACAGGGTCTCGCTGTGTAGTTCAGGTTGGCCTTAAACTCACTATGTAGCTCAGGCTTGCCTGGAACTCAGTGATCCCCCTTGTCTCCTAAGTGCTGGGATTATAGACATGTGCTACAACACCCTGGCTGAAGAAATGTTTCATATAGACAAGAGATAGTTACAAATACTGATTTGAGAATTATTTGTAGTAGCAAAAGCCTAGAAATGACCTGAATGGTCATGATTTAAAGGAACTGGCCTGATACAGACTATGGTATTCACATATAGTAACATGCTGTGCAACTTTTAAAAGAAATGAGTTAAATCTTTGTTTAATGATATGGTTGAATTTAATAAACATAAAATGAAGAAAGTCAAGTTGCAGAACGGTATATATAATGTGGAATTAAAATCCTCAGTATAGAACAACTATAACAAAGGGATTTAGAAAATAAAAATCACCATTTAAATAGTTATAATTTTCAATTCTGCAGTTTTACTAATATTGTGGTTGTTGTTCAGGGTTCTCGGTGCTCTTCTGATGCCAGTATGCTTGGAGAAATGATGTTTGGCTCAGTAGCAATGAGCTACAAAGGATCCACCTTAAAAATTCATCAGATCCGGTAAAGGGTTTTCTGATTACTTTAAAAAGAGAATCAAATTTTAGATATGTAGTATTGTTGAAGATGAGAGATTGCATATGACTTGCACTCAGATTGAGCATGTTACTCACTCTATAATATTATATGGCTTTAGGGCCAGGAGTATAGTACAGTGGCACAGTACCTGTCTGGCAAGCACAAGGTCATCAGTTCAATTCCTGGTGCAAAAAAAAAAAAAAAAGGAAAAAGATTATATGGCTTCAGTGGGACTTAATAGCTTAAGGACTGTGCTGTGAAATCTGTGTAACTTACACATTTTATTTATAATAAATCAGTAAAGTCCTTCATTAAGTTTGACTTTTGCTTATGTCTCTGACCATGTATTTTTCTTTGTAGTTCTCCTCCCCAGCTCATGCTAAGCAAAGTCTTTACTGCACGGACTGGCAGCAGCATCTGTGGCAGTCTTAATACGTAAGTGCTTATGGCTGTAGAACAACATTGATTATTTAAGATGTGAAGGGAATGAAAATTTTTTTAAAATGCTTTTGAGTACAGCACATATTCATGTTTTCTATATTCTCCAAGTTTGAACATTCATGGAGACCAGATTGCATCCTCATTTGAGTTTAGTTGAATAATAGGAGGGGTAGTTTCCATTTCTGTAGTTTGCTAGGAAGAGTATCTAGAAGTAAAATATTGAATGTATTTCCCTCTTTGGTCAACACGCTGATTCTCAGTTTTGCAATCATGCCAAGTTACCACATGCCTCTTAGTGTTACACTCTTCAGTTTTTTGATCTGCAGACAGTGATGGCCCACATCATTCATATGGCTATTATGCATAGTCTACTGTATCATATATGCTAGTAGCCACAGTGGTATGGTAAGCTATAAAGGATCCACCTTAAAAATTCATCAGATCTGGTAAAGGGTTTTCTGATTATTTTAAAAAGTGAATCAAGGGGCTGGTGAGATGGCTCGGTGGTCTAGAACATCTACTTATAACAAGCTTAGCAAAGCACCGGGACCGCGGTTCAATCCCCCAGCACCACATGCCAGCCAGCCCCGCCCCCTGGTGGGCTGAGCTCACCACACACACACACACACACACACACACACACACACACAATAAATTAAATAAATAAATAAATAATTTTTTAAAAAGTGAGTCAAATTTTATATATGCAGTGTTTTTGAAGATGAGAAATTTCATATGGCTTGTAGTCAGATTGAGCATATCTCTTACTCTATAATATTATATGGCTCTAGGGCAAGGAGCATAGCTCAGTGGATTTCATTTATTGTAAATAACTTTTGAAACATCTGGTTGGAGTAGTTCTATTAGCTGAGTTTCTAATACCTGTATTTCTTTTTTACCTTTCTTTTAGGAAGAAAGGAATGGGGAGATGTTCTTCAAAATACTGTGAACATTTAAAATCTTAATGCCAAAAATGTTTTTTGTTTTTAATACTATTGCAGAAATTACTTAGCACTGCTATTAGCTTTCTTTTTCTTTTTTGGTCCTGGAAGATTGAGTCAGGGAACTGTACCTCTTAGTCACATCCTCAGCCCTTTTTTTTTTTTTTAAGACAAATCTCGCTGAATTGTGCAGGCAGAGTTTGAACTTGCAGTCCTCCTCCCTCATCTTCTAAGTGTTGGAATTACAGCATGCCCTGATGATTTTAAAGCTTTAATCCTCTCAGTTACTTCATCTTTTCTGAAGTGGAATTTTAGAATTTATAGAAAAGATACTTTGAACTAAAAATAATTTTGTTCCTGATATTCTTAAAAGATTTATTAGAAAAGTATAGGCCATTTTTGATGTGTGGACTGAAAATAATTTTGGTCATTTCTTTACTGCTGCTGTCTTACCTCCTCCTTTTTCCTCCCATGCACCCTCTTCCTCCTCTTCTCCCTCTACCCTCTCAGAAGCTTTACAAAATTTTTGCAGGTCTAAAATCCAAGGAAAACCTGTTTTGTAATGCAAATTGGAGCCAACAGCTTTATTCTGTAAAGGGTCAGAATGTACTTGTGCTGCATGTGTACTGTTTCTCGGCCCTGCCATTGCAGCATCAGAGCAGTCATAAACAGCACATGAATGAATGGGTGTGTTCCTGTAACATGTTGGCCACAAGAGAGAGCAGACTGAGTTTGGCCCTCAGGCTTAGTTTACCAACCCGTTTGAATGATGTTATCATTTATAGTTTATATTTACAGTACTAACAGGGAAACAAAACTTAAGATGTGGTTTATACTTAAAATTTCTTTTAGATGTAGAGTTGCAGTGAGAACATCTAATTAATAGGATTTTTTTTAATTTTTTTTCTGTAGACTGCAAGACAGTCTTGAGTTTATCAATCAGGACAACAATACTTTGAAGGCTGATAATAACACAGTTATTAATGGACTCCTTGGAAATATAGGTAAATAAAGGTTCTCTTGATTTTATAAGTTTAAAAAAATGTTAACAGTATGACAGAGGTTTGAAGTTGTTTCTTAATCATGTAGATCTCTTATAGATGGCCAAAGAATTTCAAATAAGTGAGAAATACATTTATATTATTTGGAAAACTTTTTCTTATGTTTAAACATTTGTTTTGTGTCTGAACAGAAGAGCACTATTGAAGATATATTTGATTTTTTTATTTTTTTTTTAATTTTAAATTTGATGTGTCTTTGAAAGGAGCTGTCATTGGTATAGAAGAACCCTTATTAGCTCTCTCAAATATTCAAGCTGAGGAAGACTGATACTACATGTTATTTCTTCTTTCTTCCGTAGCCATAAAAGTCATTTTAAAATGGTGCTTGCTTTTGTAACCTGTAATTCATATAAGCAGATTAATTCAAATTTGATGTTCCTTATAAGAGTCATGAGAATAATAGCTTATTTAGTAATTTGAGTAGCTGATTATTATCATAAGTTAAGCATTTTATTTTTTTTAATAATAATATCATGAATCTTATTTTTTTTAATTTTATGTGTGTGTGTGTGTGTGTGTGTGTGGCCAGCTCAGCCCACCAAGGGGCGGGGCTGGCTGGCATGTGGTGCCGGGGGATTGAACCGCGGTCCCTGTGCTTTGCTAAGCTTGTTCTAAGTAGGTGCTTTAGACCATTGAGCCATCTCACCAGCCCCAAGTTAAGCATTTTAAAATGACTGTTTCTGAAATTTCTGTCATTTGTCCCAGAAAGCTCAACTAGATTGCTGCTATTTCCAATGCATAAAGAAGTGTAGTAATTTAGGGAGTGGAAACACTTCGAATAGTATGAATAATTTTCTCATTCCTTGTGTAGTAGGAAATTTTATTTATAATTTTAATAGATACTCTGATTATACTTATTAATAGAAATTTTTTTTCTTTTAACTTGAGCAATATAACATTTGGCTCAATAAATTTTACTCTCTAACACAAGTTTATTCAAATGAACAGTTATTTATTAAGCACCTACTATAGGTTTAATAATATTAGGCAAGTAATTTATGATATGTCTAATTGTAGAAAAATAGGTGTTTCTTGATTTACCTAATTAATTTAGCTTTTAAAAAAACTGACAAATTTAACAAAGTAAATTTTTTCTTTATAATTTGACATTTTTTTCAAAGTGCAGCAGACTTAGTTAATATCATCTGCTTTGAACCCAGGGTCTTCCTACATGCTAGTTTACGTTTTCACCAGGTTTTTCAAACAGGATTTTACTAGGGGAATGACTGTGAAAAAGAAAATGAGAGCCCTGGAAAGGCTAAACGAGATGTAGATTCTGATGAGAGGCTGACCCAGCGGGAAGCTGAGAAGGGAGGGAGGTTTATCATGTCTATTAGAAGTCTTCAAGTAAGATCTGGTTGTCAGGTACCTTCATTCTCCTCAGAAATGGGCCTGGTATGCTTACTGCGTTTCGTCATTGGCTTACAGCAGTGGTGGAAACCTGTGGCGTGTGTGTTGTTGTTTTCTTTTAAGACAAAAGATGTTAATTATGAGTTTTTTCTAAACTGAAACTTCAGTATTCAGGTATAATTGCAGAGTTGGCAATTATATCCTGTAATAAATTTGTGATAAATAAATAGGCTGTGGTTTGCAGTTTGGGCAGTGGTCTCTAAAAGGCTTGCCATCACTGATTTAGAGCAACCTACTGGCTATGTATTCTTGGAAATGTGGTGGATTTCAGACCACAACCATTGGGGTTCTTGGTCAATTATACTCCTTGTAGTTAGAGATCTTTGAGGTAGGTACATTCTCAAGACCATTACAGGAGTACTTTTGAAATATTAACCACATGACTAGGTATTATTTGTATGTGTAAAAGAAAATAGTGTAACATCAGTGAGAAGAGATTTAGCTGAGTAAATGGGATTGAAACGTGTCTAGAAAACCCCATCTTGTATAAATATAAGCCATAGGAAAATGGAAACTCCCGCAAAACCCTTAAGAGGTTGTAAGGAGTCCTAGGCTTTGGGCCACATATGAGAACTGGTGCAATGTAGGTTTTAGATATATGAGGGGAAAATGGACTGTGTTTACTGATGAAAAAAGAAAGTTATAAGGAAGATGTAAAAATAATTAGTAGAGGGTGGTTTTTGAAGGAGAATGAGGACTTTGGGATTCTAGCCAGTTTATCATTAGCTTTGTTATGTTAGGGGGACATCTGTGTCAGGATTCTTTACGAAGTCCCTAGCACATCAAAAGATTTAACTATTGTTACCTATTATTAGGAAAAGGAGGCAAAGATGGGTGAAAAGTTGAGGATAAGGTGGTAGAGAAAGGAGAGTTCCCATCTAGGTATTGTGGTGGGTGCATACATGCACATGCACATTGTTAAAAATGTCATGCTGAAAATAAATGAGGTGAGTGAGAATTGAACTTAAAGGACTTGTATAAAGAGCTGACCCTTGAGACATGGAAGGATTGTTGCACATATACTGTAACTATATAAGTCCTTTTTACAGAAGAAAAATAGTATCTTAGGGATTTGAGAAATACAGTTGTCACTGAAACAGAAAGCTGTTATATCCTAGGTAAAACTCCTAGGTGGCTATTTAGACTGTCTTGATTAAACATAGTTGGGAACCCAGGTGGTTGCCTTCAGGCTATAATGTCCCTTTTGGATCTTCAGACTGTTAACAGTTTTTTCTTGGTCAAGTATGTGGCAGCTGCTTCATGTGGACAGTTGGGAGTCAAATGAGCTACATTAGTTACATTATTGTTTAGCCTTATATACTTAGGTTAGGAAAAGCAATTTTTGACTTACCTGCCAATAAAATCCCTTTCTGTATTTGTTTTTTGTTCTTCTACTACATGTAGTACAATGGTGTTGTCCTTACTACAATTACAGGAGAAAATTACAATCTTGAATGACATTTTAAAAGAAATATAGTTGACAAATGCCAATTTAGGTAGATAACTTTATTCTTTTTTTTTTTTTTTTGAATCATTAAAAGCATTATTTTACACTAGAAAGGATTGAATGTTTAAAATAATTTTTGCCTTGTATGGCAGAAGTGTAAATAGACATTAAATTGTTGTTTACCTAAACCATGACCAAAAGGGGACTGTACTCTTTCAAAAGGGAAAGCCAATTTGAATTATCCTCATTTAGGGTAAAAGTTTCCATCCATATCTGTTGGTCTCCTGTCCTGCTGCTTTGCCTCACTTTTTCTGCCTGACACATTATGGCTTCTCTAACTGCCCTCTTTCATGTGTATTTTACATTTTTACCATGTAGGTCTTTCACAGTTCTGCAGCCCCAGGCGGGCATTCTCTGAGCAGGGTCCGCTCCGCTTGATCAGGAGTGCCTCTTTCTTTGCAGGTTTGCGATGTGCTCTATGGGTAGACTAGTTGGTGTGACCTAGCAGCTAGAATTTGTAGTTAAGCTGTGGAAACAAGAGAGTAAATGGATATAATTGAGGAGTTTGTAGTTAAGAATTATTACTTATGAAATACCGGAACTTAATTCCTTTCTACTGAATATGTTCCTTATGTTTCCACAAACTGAGTTATCAGACAATTTTTAAATACTTCTATTCGTTTCTTTTCTCATTATCTCATAATCATTTTAACTTTAGAGTGTTAAATCAAAATTTACTATGACTATTATTTTTTGTAATACTTGAAGTTTTTAGTGTGATGCTGTCTTGTTTCCATGGCTGAGTGGCTTTTGTATCATAGTTCACCAATTGCAGAAAATATTAATTGTAAAAGTTCTGATCTACACTATTCCATAAAAATGATTTTTCTTGGAGCTAAGATTTAGATGAACAAGCACCATCACGATGTTCCATTAAAGGCATATGGAATTGTTTATGTTATTAAATTATTATAGACTATGTGTTCATGATTATATATTTAGGATGCTAATTCCATTGTATATTTTTGCAGATTTCACACCCAGTAAGCTAGCATTGTAAGCTTCAGGTGTAAATTATCAAACTGTGTGGTGATGTACTCATTATTTTTCTTGGGTTGGTATCAATTTAGCTTTTGTTTTAGTTTTTATTTTCCCTGTAAATATTAGATGTGAGCAATACATGTTTATCATAAAAAATTAAGAAAATATGATAAAAAGGCAAAAAATATATTAGTCACCTGTCACCCAGTTGTGCCCACTTTTTCTGGTACTGTTGGGGATTAAACTTGGGAACTCCAGCCTGCTGAGCAAGCACTCTACCACTGAACTACACCCACAGTACCTCCAACTTCTACAAAAAGAATTGGTCTCAGTATTTAGAACATTTCTGAAACTTTTATTATGAATTTTTAAATATATTATGTTTGTATCTAAATATCCAGTATAGGCAGAATGAGTAGACTGCATTGTGATATACCTATCACTTAGACCCAACAACTGACATTGATTTGCTTGCTTTTTAAATTAATAGCACGTTGTAACTTCTTTCTGTGTCATTGAATATACTTCTAAATATGAATTTTAGTTAACCCTGGCTTCTTTAATTACTTTATCATAGATCATTTTCATACTTTGTGTCAGTCTTCAGATCTCAAAGCTTGTTCACCTGAGTAGTAGCTCTTGGTGTTGGGTTGATGCCATGCTTGAAAAATAAAGGAATGCAATGTGATGAGCATGATTCAGTTTGCTAGTTAAAAAGAGCAACATTTACCTAAATAAGGATATATTTTGTAACTGATAGTTGTGTATTGATTTTTAGTTCACAGTAATCCAATGGACATGCCTGGAAGAGAACTGAATGAGGACAGAGACAGTGGCATAGCACGTTCTGGTAATTTCAAGTTCATGTATTAATCAAGTTTTTTATGAGATTGCTGCTAGCTGGTATTGATTTTCTTTTTATCCCTGCTTTTATCATCTGATTCTCTGTTCAGACTATGGTTATCTTGATTCTTGCCATATAAGAAGATTGTGAAAGGGGTAGAGAGACATCTGTTGAAAGTTTTTGTTTCGTTTTGTTTTGATTTGATTTTTGCAAGGAATAGGGTGGCACAGACTTGTAATCCCAGCGCTTGGGAGGCTGAGGCAGGTGGATCGCTAGAAGTTGGAGGCCAACCTGGAATACATAGCTAGACCCTGTCGCAACAGAGAGCAAAATAAAATTTAAATTTAAAAAAAAATTGGGGGCCAGGGAGATAGCTCAGTGGAATAAGTGCTTCCCTGGCAAGTGCAAAGGCCTGAGTGCAATCCCTGGGTCCGCCAAAAAGTAAAATAAAATAAATAAAATTTACATATTTACCCTTAAGTATGCCTAGTGCAGTACAGTGATACCTTGGTTCACAGAATGTAGTTCTTTCTACCATTCTGGTTGCAAACCAAATTCGATGACCAAAAGAAAAATATGTAAGAAAAATATTGCTCAGGACACTACTTAGAAATCATAGCAGAAAAAACACATAGTTTGTATCTGCTTGCTGCTAACTAGAGTTTAAATTTTGAGATTTTACTTTTGCCCAGCAGTCAAGAGAACTGCAGCAGTGGTGAAAATCCTTAACCCAAAAAAAAAAAGCAAAGGCTATGGCTTCTAACACTTTAGGCAAAAAGTCTTAAGGATTCTATAGAAGAGTTTTGGGGAGGACTAATAAAAATCCCTATCGTCAGAAGATTGCAGTAGTGTAATTAGAGTAGAATCTACTGGAATGTGTTTGTTGCCTCAGAGTGATCCAGAGAGCCAATCTATAGGGTCTATTCTTTTTTTGTTTTTAATAGCATAGTAGATATTAGTTATTATTCTTTTAAAAAGTGGTTGGCTTGACTGTGTGTACAAAATTTGTAATTGAAGTTATAATCTCTTTAAATGACACTCAGACATTATTTTCAAATACAGCTTCTTGTCAGAAAATCCATATGCTATATCGTATAATAGCACTAGATTTCCTTTAAGGAATGAAGTTCTTGGCACCATTAGATAAGTGTGGGAGAAGAACCAACACTTTGCTGAAAAGTAACATTTCCTTCTGGGGCTGTTATATGACTTTTTCCTTTAAGACCTTGCTCCAAGAATTTTAAAAATGGAAATTTAGAGGAGAGGCTCATTAAGCAAAATGAACAATTTGAGTCATTCTACTGTTAACATTTTTATAATTTTTAAGTTTTGTTAGTACATGTTTGCAATTTATGAAGTTTACAATTATCTTGGGAGCAGTTACAGGTATATATTATACCTTGGAGGGTTTTTTTTTTGTTGTTGTTGTTGTTGTTGTTACTTAACTGCCCTCCCAATTACGGATTTTATATAAGGGTTTTGAGGAAGGATTAATCAATCCCACAGTCAAGAGATTGTGGCAGTGTAGAGTAGAATCTGTTGTGTCCCCCACTTCCGTTCCCCATCCGCTTTTCATATTTGTTGGTACTTATTTGTTTTAGCTCACATTATGACACATAGTGTTTAATTGGGTTATTAGATTTCTGTACTGTTCATGTTTTAATAAATTTATTATCCATGGTCATTTTTGATTTATACTGTTGTTCTGACTTAACAGCGTCTCTCAGCAGCTTGCTTATCACCCCGTTTCCTTCCCCAAACTCTTCACTTACTCGAAGTTGTGCCAGCAGCTACCAGCGACGTTGGCGACGCAGCCAAACAACAAGTTTGGAAAATGGGGTATTTCCTAGATGGTAAGTTGGAATTTACACAAGATTAAATAATTCCTTTAAGCACAGCGTTGTGTACCTCTTTTTATAGCCTGGGCTTATATTTTCTGTACTTTAAACATGGTACTAAAAACTTTGAAAATTGTATCATATTTTTTATTGTGCTAAATTGCATGAAACAGTTGACTTTTAATTGTTTTTAGGTGTGCAGATCAGTGATATTAAGTGCCTTCACACCATCATCACTGTCTTGTTTTTGTTTTTGTTTATATATTTAGTACAGGGTTTACAGGGTCTCATGATGAATATCAGACTCATAGTGATTCTCCTGTTTTCAGCCTCCCAAGTGCTGGGATTACAGGCAGGCGTGCGCCACCACACCTGGTCTCAGTCACCATCTCGGCGCACTCCGTGAGCAGGGCTGGCACAGCAGGCTGGGTATTGAACCCCAGGCACCTATGTCTGCCTAAGCAGGGGCTTTAATCCGCTCAGCTATCTGGCCAGCCCAATCATCACTGTCTTAATGCATGAATTTTTTTTTATCATCTCAAAGTGAACCCCTGTACCCATTAAGTAATAGCTCCCCATTCCTCCCTCTTCTGGCCCTTATAACCTGGTGCCTTTTCTGTGAATTTGACTTGTTAGGTATCTTATATAAAAGGAATCATACAGCAGTTGTTCTTTTGAGACTGGCGTATTTCACTTAGTTCAGTGTCTTCAGGTTTCATCCATGTTATAACACGTCAGAAATTAATTCTTTTGTATAGCTGAATTACATTCCATTGGAAATATGTTTTGTATATTCATTCATCTATGGATGGACACTTATATTGTTTCTGTTTGTCTGTTGTCCAGAATGCTGCTATCAATATGGGTATACAAATACCTGGTTGAATCATTGCCCTCAATTCTTCTTGCATATACACCAGAAGCAGAATTTCTGGGCCATATGGTTTTTTTGTAGTGGCTACATTTTGTATCCTTACCAGCAACATAAAGGGTTCTAATTTCTCCACATCCTCACCATCAGGTTTTATACTCTGTGTGTGGAGGGTGGTTGGTTGGTTTTGTGGTACTGGGAATGGAATCTAAGGCCTCAGGCATAATAGTCACATGCTCTACCATTGATCTGGACCCCCACCCCCCACCTCCCTTTATTGGGCCATCTTAATACATGTGAAGTGGATTCTCACTGTAGTTTCAATTTACATTTGTCTGGTGGTAGTAGTGGTGTTGAGGGTCTTTGCAAGTGCTTATTAGTCATTTGTATGCCTTTTGGGGAGATACCTGTTTAGGTCCTTTGGCCACTTTTTAAGTCAGCTGTTGTGTTGATTTGTGATTTTTTTCTTTAAATCGATTTTAGATATAAACACCTTACCAGATTTAGGATTTACAAATACTTTCTTCCATTGTATGGATTGCCTTTCATTCTATTGATCATATCATTTAATGTACTAAAATTTTTCACTTTTAGGTAGTTTTTTAAAAAATTGTTCCTGAGTTTTTTGTGTTATATCCAAGGAACCTTTGCCAATCCAATGTCATGAAATGTGTATGCTGTTTTTCCTTTTAAAAGTTTATGTTTAGCTTTTTGATTGTATGCCATGTTTTGATATTCATAGTTTTCATATTTCTATTTGACAATTTTATTCTTGAAAGATTATTTTTAGTTAGTGTTAACCAAAATTATTCATAATCTGACATGAGTAAAAACATGAGAAACAATAGAGTAGATTCCACAAAGAGATACAATTGATAGTAAAATCTAAATAATTTTGATGAAACAGCAAAAGGTATTTAGATTGCCTACATTTAATTAGCAAATAGATTGAATTGTGAATTTATTTACTTTTTTTAAATTAAAAAACATATATTTTCAAGGTCTATAGAAGAAAGCTTTAATCTGTCAGATGAAAGCTGTGGCCCTAACCCAGGAATTGTGAGAAAAAAGAAGATTGCAATTGGAGTAATCTTTTCATTATCCAAAGATGAAGATGAAAACAACAAATTTAATGAATTCTTTTTTTCACATTTTCCTCTCTTTGAAAGCCACATGAACAAATTAAAGAGTGCAATAGAACAGGTAAGGTTAGTTATTCCTATCTTATGCTAACTTTTGTCTTTTCCTTTGAATTTTATTCTTCTGATTTAGCATTATGTGTATTCATTTTTCAGAAAAATTAACAGCCACCATTAATTCTGTAAGCTAGTGCCTTACACAATAAATAATCTGGTAGATAAATATACATCAACCTTTTAAAAAAGATCTTGCTGTCCAATAAAAGATCTAAGGCTCTTCAATCAGAAACTAAATATTTGAGGACCCATAACAGGACTAGGGTAGCAAATGAAGAGAAAAAAGCAGTACTTCTGATCTCATGGGATAGCAAATAAACAAATGAACATACATTATTTTCAAGGATTACTTGAAATACAAATTAGAAGGGCCAGCCAAATAGCTCTGCGGATTAAAGTGCCTGCAAGCAGGCCCAGGGCCCAGGTTCAGTCCCTGGGCCTGCCATGCCAGCCCTGCCCCCGGGGCATGCTGAGATGGCAGTTGAGACTGGGCATGGTGGTGTGAGCCTGTAATCCCTGCTCTTGGAAGGCTGTAAACAGGAGAATCGGTATGAGTCCAATCTAGTAGTGAGACCCTGAACAACCTGTATTTCCCTAAAATACAGGGAAAAAAAAAAAAAAAAACCCAACAGATTAGAACCTAAAGATAGGCAAATATTTTTAGTTCAGAAGAAATAAAAATGTCTTATTGGGAAAAGGTTTCATTTGTATAAATCTTGAAGGATATGTATGATATTTTAAACAGAGCTTTGAAAATTGGACACAGCACAATGTCAAGACAGTAGATGTCATTACCATCTATCCAGAGGGAACTCATTACTTTTTTGCTGAAAGTCTTACTCAGTTCTTTTCTTTGGTGTACTTTTACTTGGTAGGGATTATTTTGCATTTTAAATTTCATGCCCATTTCAAAAACTTGTTATTGTAGTTTGGCCTTGGACTATGATCCTTCTGCCTCAGCCTCCTTGACAAACTAGTGTAACAGTTTTGCACACCGCCATGCACAGTTTATACATTTTCTGAAATATATTTTACTGGATTTTCTCAATATAAGAAACAGTCTTCTTAGTAGGCCTTTACACATTTTTGCAATAAGTGCTACATTATAGTTAACATCTTGGTGAATTTTCCAGTTTATTTCTAAGAAGAGATTGCTGAAAGTCAAATTAAAGAATTAATGGTTGTGACCAAAGTTATTAATCTGACAGGTAGAAGTGAAAAGATAGAAGAAATAGTGAGCGATACTACAAACAGACTTAATAAGGGTGCAATTATGAAGAATCTGCAATGTTTGCCAGGAAAAATTCACTTTGTTTTTAAATCTCTTTTCAAAGTATACTTTTAGAAAATTAATTTGACAATAGTATAAAAGAGACTAGAACGAAAAGTAGAAAGACCCTAGCATGCAGAGGATACACCTCATCACTCAATGGTAATAGGCATTTGCCTCTGGAGCAGGCATGGATGTTTATTCACAGTGATCTATCAGGCCAAAAAAAAAAAAAAAGCAACAGACAGATCATCAGCAGTCCTTTTTTACTGAACAAATGAATTAGAAGCCATTTGGATTTAAGTAAGATGCTGGTCACACTGCAGTTGGCCACTTTCTTATTTTGTAGTCCTTTGTTGTCAGAGTCACCATGCACATTTGTTGTGGCTGAAATATTTTCAGTTACTTGGAGAAGTATTTAAAGCTTTAAATTAAACTTTAGAGGCCCTTTGTAAAATTCATAAGTTTTTTTAAAGTGCTTTCATGTTTTAGTGCTTTGCCCTTTCTCTAATATAGAGTGTATGTTACTTATATATAACAGTTTTCTGGATACTTGTTTTACATCTCATTTTTTAAATTAAAGCTGACATAAAAATGAATGCTTTAATATAAGTGAATGAAAAATCTAAAAGTTTGTTGGTAGTTAATGACAGAATTGGGGAAATACTAGGCCATCTAAAGAAATTGTCGGCTGTGACTCATCCACATGGCTGCACTGATAAAGGTTCTACAATCTGAGGTACAGGATCTCAGGACAAATCCTGAGGGCATTTCACTGACCTTCTCAGACCAAAAAGCTACAACTCTTGTTGCATAGGTCCTGCTTTACCTTGGTCTTAACCATCCAGCAGAAAAGTATGAAGACGAAATTATAAGAAATAAAGCCATGCTGTTAAGTTGAGCTGTGGGGGACTCAGGTCAATAATTTCTGACATTGCCAGTTAAACAGAAGACCCAATGCTATTATGGGCTACTGGACTCTTTTAGAATATTTTGCTGAGTTTACACACCTATAATATTCAATAACGGAACTTAGAAAAAATGGGGTATACAGATGAATGTCCATTTTGTATCTGTATATTCAAAGTGGTTGAGATAGATATATAGTTACATTCTGTTAATGAATAGAATGATTTGTTCTAATGGAGTTTGTAAATAGGATCACAAGTCCGCATCTTGTACAGCAATTAACCACTAAGAAGAATATATGCAGTGTATTATGTGTTGAAAAAAAAAAAAGGTAAAAAAAGAAATTGTCATGGGGCAGCTTTTAAGCCATTGTTATTTTTTAGTAAAAGCTGTGAATTTTGCTTTTGAGGACCTTCATAATTAAAGTCTATGCCTTTTTTTTTGAGAGCTGTAATGCAATTTTAAAATATTGCTGATAAGATAGTAAGAACCATTCCTTAATTTCAGCAAAAGAACATTGATTTATTTCTGAATATTAATCTCAGTTCTGTTTTTTGTTTTTTGTTTTCCGAAACAGAGGATTGAACTCAGGCTCTTGCACTTGCGAGGGAAGCGCTTACTCTACTGAGCTATCTCCCTGGCCCCTAATCTCAGTTTTATAAACATAAATTTTCATTTTTGTCTTCTGATGTTTGATTCCTGGTAGTCTGGCCATCTTTTAAATATGTTCTTTAAAGATTTTTAATCAGCTTGTTATATAAAGAATTTGTTCCAAAAAGATTGTAAATTGGGATTTTATTTTGTTTTTTTTTTCCCCACTTTTTGTATTCATGGTCTTCTTTTTATCTTCTTGGTCTAAATTTTTCAGCTTGTACTTAATTTATTTTTGGGGTTCTTTTGTTTGTTTGTTTATTTGTTTGTTTTGTTTTGTTTTGTTTTGGGATAGTCTTGCTATATAGTTTTGGCTGCCCTTGAATTCTGTGTAGCCCAGGCTGGTCTTGAACTTGCAGTGAACCTCTTGCCTCAGCTTCCTAGTGCTTGCGATGTACCACAATACCTGGCTAAAATATGTTTGTAAAAAAGCAAATATGAGTAATAACTTGAGATACTCATCAGCAGAATTTTTATATTCTAGGTGTAAAAAAACAATACCAGCAGAAGTAGTATCTATGAAATATAAAAGTAAAACCACAAGCTGTTATTATGTCTTGTTCTGTTTTTAAAAAGGAAGTTTTTGGCATCCCAGAGACTTGTCAACATCACTATTATCATTGTACAGTTGACAATTATGATAGGGTTCAATGGTTGAAAAATTAAAAAATTTTGATAATCCCCAATGTCCAGAGGTATAGAAGGAAAAGCCACTGTAAATATGTGTATCTTTTTATTTCCTTATAGATTAAATTGTTGATAGTGTTGTATAACATGTGGTTTTTCTTTCCATGCTTTATCATAATTCGTGAAACAATTAACTGTGTAATGATTGTTTTCAAGGCTATGAAAATGAGCCGGAGATCAACTGATGCCAGTCAGAGGAGTTTGGCATATAATCGAATAGTTGATGCCCTAAATGAATTCAGGTACATATTCCCCAGTTTTCCATAATGCAAAGATGTTTTGTGGTGTACACAGGAAGGAACTTTTCTTTAACTTGTTCTAATAAAATTCACTTCTTTAAATTTCTTGGTCCCATAGTCATGTGAGGGTCTAATATTCAGTAAGGCCCCTACCTCCTGTGCTGTTAAATCTGAAATGTAATTGAGATTGAGTAACATTTGAGGCCCATCAGAGGCATGGTTTTTAAAAGTGGACCTTTTGTTTTTGATAAGCAAATATGACCAGAAGATAACTATTGTTCCAGAAATAGGCTTTGTTCTGTCTTGAGCTCCTAGGTAAAGGAACTAGTTAAGTGTTGTTTAACCAGTGACATCATCAGATGTTCCTTGATGCACTGAAACAAGAATATATGATATCAGGAATATGAACTCTGTGATCTTAATGGCTTTATTGATTGGTTCTTTCTCTTGACATGTCACAGCAAGTACTCTTTCTTCTACCAGTATTTTCTAAGGCTCCACATTTATTGTTTGTAAAGCCAAGTGTTGTAGCTGTCCTGTAACTGTATGGCCAGTAGACATGCAGAAAGTGGACATACGTTAGGAATCACTAAGTGCTATCTACTGTGAAGGAGATTCATTTGAGGTCTACTTTAACCTCAGGTTTAACTTTCTTTAGATGAGAGATGGTATAGCACAGAAAATGAGACCAGAAAGGTTTGATTCGGTGTTCTAATCTTGGCTGTGCCATTTACTACCCTTGGTGACTTTGGGCAAAACCGTAGCATTTAGTACTCTGGATTTCTAATCTAAAGCATGCAGATTCAACCGGGTGAGGTGGCACATGCCTGTTCTTCCGGTACTGGAGGCTGAGGCAAAACGATTACTGCAAGTTCCATGCCAACCTGGGATATATAATGAGTTCAAGCCCAGCCTGAACTGCCTAGTGAGATCCTGTTTCAGAAAACCAAAACAAACAAAGCAGATCATTAATATGCACATTTAGTAATAATATGGTAAGATTATTTTAAGGATTAAAGTAAGATAAGATAGTGCCTGATACTTAGCAGAATGCCTGACTTTTTTTTACAAAAAAACTTCTCTCTGGCAGATACTACAGCATTACTTCCCCAGTTTTGGTCCTTCACATCATACTCATGATTTTCTCAAATCTGACACTTGAATTTAATACTTTTGGATATGACCAAAAAATGATCTCTAATGAAACTTTTATTACTCTGAAGGGGAAATCAGTATTTTCTTTGCTGTAGAATCATGTTACTTAGTTGAGGAAGAGAAAATGTCTGATCATTGTTTTATTTACCATAATTTGTAGGGTGGAAAACCTTTTCTGTGTAGTAATTTCAGTTGTTAGGGGAAATGGAGAGAAACAAATACAATTTAATTTTAAGCTGTATTATTACTTTTTGGTCTTGGAAGAAAATTATTTACATAAGTGATACCTAATTTGCATTATAATTTCTGCTATACATATGTACAGTAATTTAACACAGTTAATTTGAGGCCATTCTTAATTTATTGTGTGAAGCATATAACTATGATACCTTAATTTTGTGTCTAATATAGTGAAAACCTTATAACATTAAATTTATCTTAATTGTTGAATGTATAATAATGTTAAGTATATTCAGTAATTCATGAAGATACCACTTGTAATCACTGAGACTTACATCCAAAGCTATTCACAATTCCATTTATTCAAACTTCAAACCTTAAAGAATTCAGGTTTTGCATCCTTCACTCTCTTGTCTCCCTCTTCCCCTCCTCTCTCATGTTTTGATTAAACCCTGGGCCTTTGCACTGAGCTACATCCCCAGCCTTTTTTATTTTCCTTTATTTTGGAATGGGGTCTCATTAAACTCCATAGCCTGGCCTTGAACGCGTACTCATCATGTCCCAGGGCCAGGGAGATAGCACAGTGGAATAAGTGCCTGTCTGGCAAGTTCAGGGTTCCTGAGTTCAATCCCTGCTACCACAAAAAAAAAAAAAAAAAAATCTTAGTCATTCTGCCCCAGACTCCTAAGGCAGGGGTTAAAGATGTATACTGATTTACTTTGCTATACTTTTTTTTAAATATATTTAGTACAGGGTCTCACTATACAGGTTGAACTCGCAGTGCTCCTCCTGTTTTCAGCCTCCCAAGCACTGGGATTATAGGCACATGCCACCACACCCAGTCTTTTGCTATACATTATTAAAAGCATTCTAAAGACACCAGGGGCTGATGGTACATGCCTGTAATCCCAGCACTTGGGACGCTGAGGCAGGATTTCAGGTTTGAGGTCAGTCTCAACTACATAGAGAATTCAAGGGCAATCTGAGCTATGTAGTAAGACCCTCTTAAACAAACAAGTATTATATAGATGCAAAGTAGTGGGTGAGGGCTGGTAAGATAGTTCAATGGACTAAGCACCTGCTTAGGCAAGCGCAGGGACTGGGGTTTGATCCCCTGTGCCACAGGCTGCGCTAGCCCTGCCCCTGGCCTTGCTGAGCCAGCCACCCCATCCAGGTGTGGTGGCTCACTCCTGTAATCCCAGTGCTGGGGAGGCTGAGAACAGGAGCCTGAGCTATGTAGTGAGACCCTGTACCAAATACATTTATAAAAAAAAAAAAAGTAGGCAGTGAAAAGAGCATTCTAGAGGGAATTCAGAGCAGTTTTCATGAACTGATAGTTCTTTATTTTTGTAACTTTTTTTTTTTTTTTTTTGCAGAACCAGGGATTGAATTCAGGCCCTTGCTTGCCAGGCAAGCGCTTATTCTACTGAGCCATCTGTCCGGCCCTGTTTTTGTAAATTTTGAAATTAATATGGACCTTTTTGTTTTTGAAAGTGTTTATGTAAAAGCACAAAATTGATACTCTTATAAGATGATCTAAATAATTTTAATGTCAGTACCATAAATTTACTAGAGATGAGAATTTTTAAAGCATATTGTTTTAATATAAATGTTTAGATATGTTGTGATTCAACAGTACATTATGCTAAGTTGCTTAAAATAATTTATTATGATTCAGGCTTACATTAGAGAAATGTCCTGTTGATTTGCTATTTCATTAAGTATTCTATAAAGAAAAAGAAGGCCGCATTAAGCTCACAATAAATATTTCATGTATTCTCAGTGTTGAATAAAATTTTGAGATTAAATGAACTGTAGATTTTAAGTGAACTGTAGATTTTTACCAGTTCTATTTTATGTAGATTCCCATGTAGTTCTATGCACATACCATTTACATAGCTGGAAAGTGGAACTTTATATAACTTACCCCTCAAAAAAATTCTATAAAGTATGCCTTCAGCATGAATGTAAATAGTATTTGATAAGTATGAAGTTATAGTCATTTTAAAATTTAATCCATAGTTTGAAAACTTAACTAAAGATTCTTAATGATTTGTTTATGCTAAAGTAGATCCTATGCCACTGTTGTCAGAGTAACTTGTACTAACTGGCCAGTTATTTTACTTATAGTTTTTATTTTTATGATTTTGTTTAGCTGACTTTGCTCTGGAATTACTATAAATATGCTATGAATAATTTTCTTTATCTAAAACAATCCTAGAGGTTCCCTTTTAAAAAATTATTTTAACTGAACATAAAACATTATGGGGTACCATGTAATGTTTTGACACATGTATTCATTGTATAATGTCTAAGGGAAAATGTGTCTGCCTCCTCAAACATCATTTCTTTATGATGAAAACATCGAAAATTCTTTTAAAAGTAAGTATGCAGACTTGGGTGTAATATTGTATCCCTGTCATCACAGATAATGGGAGGCTGAGGCAGAGATTGCTTGAGCCCAGGAGGTCAAGGTCAGTCTGGACAATAGGATGAGACCTCATCTCAAAAAAGTTCAAAATACCATTATCTGTGATGACAGTACTGTGCAGTAGCACAGGAGCTATAAGCCCCTGCTCTGAGGTCATGTCCAGCTGAATGTGTGTTCCTGCTCTTGCCTGGTAGACAAAAGAAACAGAGCTCAGATCCGAACAAGTGAGCATTAGGATTGTGGAGGGTTATAGGTTGGTTCTACGACCTCTAAACCCTCTTGAAATTCTGGCTGAACCTGGCCTTTGGTCATGTGGGTGGGCTGAAGTATTTACCTTGTAATACTCTGGGTGTCTCTGTCCTTGTCTTTCTATGTCTCCTCTCTCTCTCTCTCTCTCTCTCTCTCTCCCTCCCTCCCTCCCTCCCTCCCTCCCTCCCTCCCTCCCCCCTTTCCCTGTCTCTCCCCCTCCCTCTCCCCCTTCTCCTCTCTCTCTCACCCCCCCACCACCACCACAGTACAGGGTCTCACTATGCAGCTTGGACTCATAGTGATCCTCCTGATTTCTATCTCCATAGTGCTGGGATTACAGACATGCACCATCACATCCAGACTCCATCACTGACTCAGCACACCTTGGGCAGGACCAGCGCAGCATGCAGTGCTAGGGATTGAACCCTGGCCCCTGTGCTTACCTAAACAAGTGCTTAGTCCGCTGAGCTATATCGCTGGCCCTACTCTGGGTGTCTCTTGCCGGCCTGACCACAGCTCCCTGACCATGGATGTCCACCAGGGCTGTCTTCACCCAGTCACAGTTGGGGTTTAACACTGGGAGCCCTGAGAGGAAGCCAGTCTGAAGCTGTTCCACATCCCTGGTTCGGTTGACCCCTCTATAAATGGCATCTAACCAACCACTCTCTCCAGAGTATGTGGCAGGCAGTTGGACTGGAGTCACTCACCAGCTGTTGCAGTGCACAGCACCCACTGCTCCCTTCCACTGGGGTGTTTCTCCCTAAAGCCCTCTGCATCATTGCTTCAGATTTGATCTTCCTTTCTCACAAGCTAAGTAAGAGCCAGAGAGAAAGTACAGATTGCCCCTTTTTCTGTGTTGTAGTCTGTCTCTCCAGTTTCTTTTAGGCTCCTGTTTTCTGCCATAGCCTTCCTGGATTCTAGGGATCCACCTCCTCCTTCCATCATTTCTTCTCCAAGTTGTTATTTTCCATTGTCTGGATTCACAATTTTCGAGAGGCTGTTTGCTAGTCTGCTGTGTTTCTCTAAGTCTGTCTTAATTTATCAATTTTAAGATCCTTTTTGGAGGGGGAGTTGTTTACCAGGGATCAAACTCAGGACTCTGTCCTTGCCAGTCAGGGGCTTACACCACTGAACTGTCTCCCCAGCCCTAATTTATCAATTTTAGATCATAATGATTTTCTACTATGGTAGATAAATGTATATCTACTCCTTAGTTTTTTATCTTCTTGGTATAGCTAATGGCACTATTATGTTCTTTGGCTCTGTGATGTGTTGTACTTGCTTTGATAATTTATTTTCTTCTATTTTTTTGTCTCTGGAATGCTTTATGTTTTATGATTTCCTTTTGGTAACATTTATGCTTAGTTTCAGATGATCTTTTTCTTTGAAAAGTATCTTTTGTCATATCTTTCAGAGTATACATTAGAATTTTATTTAGAAGTTTTCTTGAGTTTTGTGCATTGTTTGCTTTTTTTTGAGTTGTATGCCTAGTATGTGTGTATTGTTTCTGTTTCTCCCTCTTCTTGAGGTCTTTCATTAAATATCAGGGTTATTTGCTTGCCCATTTGTAGTTCTGAGATGAGATTCCAAACAGCATGTTGGAACTTCTCTTCATAACAGGGTTTTGACTACAAAGCTTCATTTTAAGAGATTATTTCTCAAAACTTTTTTCATTATCATTTTCTGTAGGATTACATATAGACATTTCTTCTCTAACCCTTGTCTCCATCTCCCATATATAATTTAATACCACAAAATATGGTCTGTATGTCTTTTTACTTTGTAATAGGTTCATATATTCAGAAGGATTTAGAGAAGGTCTGTATTTTGGAAACCCACTTACTGTAGTCATTCTCTGAAGAAATGGAATGGTAGTGTAGGGGTCAGCAGCTCTTTATGGGTCTGAATTAATGCTTTAGTTTCTGGTCTTATATTTTAACTCTTAGGTTCTACTTTAGCATATACTTAGGATTCTTTCACTCCTTTCTGCCCCAGTGGGGCAAATAAGCTCTTGTTTGTCTAATTCCTCCTCTGTGAGGTTGTAACCCAGAGCTTCTCCACTGTGCTTCTTCAGTTGCTGTTCTTCTATTTATTTATTTATTTATTTATTTATTTATTTATTTGCCTTCTAGGATTTTATGAAAAATCTCTGATTTTTAATTTTCACTTTTGTTCCTTTCCAATTCTATTTGTTATAGTGGCTTATTTGTTTTCAGATTCTTAAAGGAGCATTCATTTGTGGCCTTGGTACTGAAAAAGGATTAGATATTATATAGTTTATCCATCCTATTTGAGTATCCTTAATCATATGCAAGAGGAAGCATTTTAGTAATATTCCTAGTTTGTATTCTTACATTTTATCTATAAGAATACATTGGGGGCTGGGGAGATAGCTCAGTAGAATAAGTGCTTCGCTGGCAAGCGCAAGGGCCTGTGTTCTATCCCTGGTTCTGCAAAAAAAACACTAAATTCTTATTTTCTGAGTTTCATTTAAAATGCCTTTAATTCTTAGTTGATAATTTTATGCCATACTGAAAACTTAATAAGTGATTCCTATTTGTTATTTCTGTTCATTGTAATATATCGGGTCCATATTTTTTGAATATTTAGTAAAGTTTATACAAGAGAATTCTTGTCTTTTAGGAAAAAAAATGAGGGATGGTAATAGAATTTGGGGAGATCTTAACAAACTTCCTAGAGTTGGATTTTTGAATACATTCTGAGCCCTCAGCCACATTTTTATTTAATTTAAAGATTAATTCAGTTCCTTCATTACACAGCTTATGTTTTAAGTGTTCAATAACTAGATAGGGCTGTGGCTAACAGACTGAAAGAAGAAACAGTCCTTTCCTTCATTGCCAAAACTTCCATGAAATAATACTGCAAAAAGTAGAAGGTAGAATAACCATCCTGTAGTTTCTCCAAAATTTTCTAGGTATTATACTTTAGGTTTTGTAGATTTGTTTAGTCTACCGAACAGATAGAACTTGAGTAGATAGTGATATAAAGGAAAAGAATAGATTATCTTGAATGTGCTTTGAAACCTTTAGGAGAGTACAAATCACAGAACTAGCTATTGTCCTAGTTAATACAAAAGAAATCTAGGAGAATACCATTATACTTGTGTAGTAATTTATTATGCTGAAAACTCAAACAGAAAAAATGCAGAAAGTTGGAGAGAGTTGTAAAATACAGCATGTGGTCCTTATCCTATAGAACTTTACCTAAGACCACAAAATGAGTCAGATAAACTGTTCTTTTGAGTGGGTAAATGGATACACTATTATCCACTAGAATATTTTATTTTGCACATGTTTATTTGTAGTATACTTAAACACAGTATATGCTTTAGAGTCTTAGAGCTGGAGTAGCCTTAGAAATTTTCTAGTCTTTTATCATCTTTCAGGTAGAAAGATGTACAAGTTAGAGAAATAATTTATTCTAGGGCATACTGTCAGTTGGGGGCAAAAACACCATCTTTGAAGTTCATGAACAAAGTATTTCCCATGATACTACACTGATTTCAAAGGAAAGACTTATCTTATTGACTTTTCTCAAAAACATGAAGTAGATATAAAGCCCAGACTGTCAGCATAAACCTTAAGGGTATGTGGTTTGAGGAATAATAAATTACATACTGTGTCTTCCTCTTTTTAGAACAACAATTTGTAATCTTTACACAATGCCACGGATTGGAGAGCCTGTCTGGCTTACGATGATGTCTGGGACTCCAGAAAAGAATCAGCTGTGCCATCGTTTCATGAAGGAGTTTACTTTTCTCATGGAAAATGCTGCCAGAAATCAGTATGGCTTGCTTTATATTTGTTTTTTATTGTTTCTTTGTCTGTTTATTAGTCGCCATTAGACTGTGAACAAATTCAGTTACCAAACTGAAAATAAAGAACACTGTCTGCGTAATTTTTTCATAGTAATAAAACAGTGTTCTAGGGCTGGCCAGATAGCTCAGTGTAGTAAAGTACCTGCTTAGGCAGATGCAGGGACCAGGGTTTGATCCCCGGCGTGCTGTGCCAGCCCTGCCAGACGGGCTCGCTGGGACAGTGACTGAGCCTGGACGTGGTGGTGCGCACCTGTAATCCCAGCACTTGAGAGGCTGGCAATAGGAGGATCACTATGAGTCCAATCTGTGTAGTGAGACACTGTAGACCCTGTATTAAAGACAAAAATAAATAAATAATTATTTTTAAAAATATTCTAAGAATAATCACATGATAGGGTATGGAAGAATGACCTAGAACCTTATAAATGAAAAAAAGTAAAAATGTTTTCAATTATTTGTTGAATTAAAATTCCTGACAAATTAATAGAATTTGCTGGGGCTTATTATTTATATGTTTTATCCATTTATGATCATTTTATTTCACAGAAAATATGTTTTAAAAAAACATGTAGGGCTGGTGAGATGGCTCAGTGGTCTAAAGCACCTACTTAGAACAAGCTTAGCAAAGCACAGGGACCGCAGTTCAATCCCCAGCACCACATGCCAGCCAGGCCCGCCCCCTGGTGGGCTGAGCTGGCCACAGAGATACACAAACAAACAAACAAACAAACAAACAAACATGTAAAGGCCAGGGAGATAGCTCAGTAGAATAAGTGCTTGCCTGGCAAGTGCAAGGACCTGAGTTCAATCCCTGGTTCCACAAAAAAAATAAAGAAGGGGCCGGGGAGATGGCTCAGTGGATTAAGCACTTCCCTGGCAAGCGCAAGGGCCTGAGTTCAATCCCTGGTTCCACCAAAAAATAAAAAAAAATTAAAAATTAAAAAAAAAAACATGTAAAGAAGTGCTAGAATTCCAATGATACTTTTTCTTTTGTATTTTAGGGAGGGGTGTACAGGGTGTTCAGGGTCTCACTACTAGATCAGACTTGTAGTGATTCTCCTGTTTACATCCTACCAAGTGCTGGGATTACAGGTGTGCGCTGCTACACCCATCCCAACTGCTGTCTCAGTGCGCTCCAGGGGCGGAGCTGGCATGGTAGGCCCTCGGGATCGAACCCCTGGCCCCTGTGCCTGCTTGCAGGTGCTTTATTCCGCTGAGCTATTTGGCTGGCCCTTTCAATGATACATTTTTAATGTGATATTTTATCATATTCTTCCAACTGCTTGTCAAGTCTTCAAAATCTATATGAGTAATTCAGATGTTTTTATATTCTTTCATAGTAATCAAAGATTTCCTTTGTTTTTCTCAGACAGTAAATTGGAAATGTAAGAACCTACTGGTTGCTTCATTAATGAAGTAGGTAGATTAAACACTAAAAAGAATCCCTACTTTTTAAAGTAAAATTGTATTTTAGCCAGGCATTGTGGCACAAGCCTTTAATTTAAGAACCACAAGGAGCTAAGACAAGAGATCGCCATTTTGAGTCCTGCTTCAGGACTCAACTTAGCATGCCCCTGTCTCAATATAAAAAATATAAGAGCTGGGAATGAAGTTCAGTACAGGCCCTAAATTTAATCCCTTGTGCCACACAAAATTAAGCAATTTATTTTGTAATTGTGATATGAAGTAGCTCCTTGTGACCATGTTCTTTATTTTAGGGATATATTTTAATTACTCCACCAGGAAAAAAAAAATTAGCTTTCTTTTTCATCTTGTATACTTGACCTTTTCCCTCTTTTTTTTTTTTTAACATTTATTGGGGCCGGGGAGATGACTCAGTGGATTAACCACTTTCCTGGCAAGCGCAAGAGCCTGAGTTCAATCCCCGGTTCCAT